CTATTTGGTGAAGTTTTGTTTCTTGCTTCCTTGCAGACATTTCAACCCCAGAATGACAAAACTCAGCAAGGCTGTGTGGAAGAACAGAGGGTAAACAGGATTGCTCTTCTCAAATAACTCTATTTGAGCTCTATTTGGAACAAAAAAAGTCAATACAAGAAATTTTTAACGGTCAAAATATTTGCATGTCCTTGAAATGAAAGTGAAAAATTATACAATATAATCTTAGCACTTTCTAGTTAGGCAAGTATTGTAATTCACAGTGTGTGCTAGCAAAGAGGAAAGCGTTCTGGATAGAAATTGGTTCTTCTGCAGTATGATTTCTTCCTTCAAATAAAAGAATGGTTTGTTTGCAAGGCAATGTTCAGAGGGAGACGTGAATAAGTCTCAGGGGTACTGTCACTAGCAAACAATATTTTCCCACACCTGCCCATGAGAGGAAAGAGATACATAGAGGAGAAAAGGCTTGGAAGGATTTCAGTTCCTCTCCGCTCTGCATGTCACCAAAGCAAGCTGACTTCTGCCCACCACTGTGGCTCCTGGTTATGTTAGAAGACTCTCTTCTAAGGGCTAACAATCCTCTGCTCTTTATCTCAGCTGAAATGACAGGCCCACATTGCAAAAGTAAGAGCCTGAATGCTGACGCTGTGAGTTTTGCCAAATGGATACTGGGCATGAATATTGTAAAATCTGCCTTCTTCTAATCCCCTCATCCCCTCCCACCTGCAAATGTTTCACATTCCCCATTTCCACTGAAATTTGGTAGTAAGATTGATACACTCTTGGGAGGAAGCAGTCAGCAGTCACCCATAGTTAGTAGGTGAGAAGGGACAGAGCTGACTGACTCACGCCCTCTTGTGGTTATACAGCGTGCCACCATTTGTCAGAGCCAGAATTTGACTTTGCCCAAGTTAAAAAGCTATCTTGTACTACCAGAGAGTGAGTCACAAACTTCTTAATAGGAGATAAACCCACCTTAACATGATGCTGTGGTGTTTTTTTTTTTAGATAACATACAAGGGCCACCACGAGAAACATGGGTATTACATGTTTAAGTATGTTTATACATCACCTGGGAAGAAAAATCAGACTGATGCAAAGGTAAGCTGAGTGACCATCTTCAGCATAAGCCAGACCCTGCACTGAGCCTCAGTGAAACTGCAGGGAGACCAAGTTTACTTTTGTCTGCTCTGAGGTATCCGGCTGGCTAGCATCCTTCTCCCTCTCCCCACACTCCCAGGCTCCTCAAGCCTCTCTACTACAGAACCTCATGTTCCGGAGTCTTCCTGAGCCCCATCCCATGCCCTGGTCTTGCTCTGCTTCAGGACCCCTGCTGCAGGGACCCCAGTGCCCCAGGGAGCGCCATGTTCTTTCTTGTTCTTGAGTGACAGCTAACCCTGCACGAGGTTCTGGACGTGCTCGATCGTGTGCTCTGATGTGGGGATTTCAGCAGAGAAGGGCTCATAAGAAAACTCATTCTGGCCTAAAGAGTGACACTTTAGTGTCCCCTAAATTCATTCCATGGATAACGCCATCTGTGGTGGGATGCTCAGAAGAGAAAGAATGAGGCCCTTGTCACGAGATGACAATAACTCTCTTCACTCAGCCCTTTCTGCAGACGCATTGGCCAAGGAGCTGGCAACAGCTGAAAATGCCATCAGCAGGCCTCTTTGCTTTCTCCGAACCTGGCTTCCTTTCCCCTGGCAGCAGTGGTTTCCCTTGAGAATACTATTTTCTTCTGCTCAGTAGTCTTCAGGTGGCATCTCCAAGGCTCTATCCAACTGCCTGTTAAAATAAGTTAAAACTTATCCATTGTGACAAATATATGTTGCGCCCTTTCTACTAAGCAACGTACGATGTCAGACAACATGATTTTTAAAAATGAAGTATTTTTTCAACCAGGATCTTTGAGTTAGAAAGAAACAAAAGGCACTTACAAAAAAAAAAAAAAAAATCACTAACCCTAGGCCAGCAGGTGGCATGAACTCCACATAGCTGACTTTGTGGCTCAAGTTTTAGTTCCAGACCCAGGAGCTTGAAAATCACACTGGGCATGTGTGCATACTCAAAATCCTGGGAGAAGTGATTGTGGTATGGCCATCCACCCTAGGAGGTTCTCTCTCTCTCTCTCTCTCTCTCTGTCTCTCTCCAGTGAGCATATACACTTAATAGCAAAAAAAAATAAAAACAAACATAAAAAAAAATTACCCATGATAGCATGTGAAAAGTGCCATGTGAGTGGCAATCAAAAAAAAAAAATCATACTTTAAGGACTCGGAGTAGAAAGAAATCAGCTCTTGTTCTGGTGTTCAGAGAAAGCTATGTAATAGAAATATCTGAGCTGTGCCTTGGAGGAGAAGTAGGAATTGAGTGGACAGAAGTAAATGGGAGAGACCGTGCCCCAGCAAAAGAGCCACGAGGCAAGGTGCAGAGACAGACAGAGGCGAGGAAGGCGGGCCAGTCAGCTGCCCCACGGGCTATCAGCAGTCAGCAATGCCGCCAGAAATTGTTTAACATAGGTAAAGGCCAAAATCCATTTTTTTCTAGTTTTAAATATTTTTCTCCAATGCAAAAATGAGTATCACCCACCACAGTGTAAAAGTTGTTTCATGTTGTCATATATAAAATAACTATTTAGTCTTGTAATGAAATGTGCGATTTATTACCACACATGCCAAAAATACAAAATTCCTAAAGTAGAGAGAGAAAAACATTAGAAATAAATTAGTATGATCTAAGTTTCATTTATTTATTTATTTAATTTTTTTTTGGAAAGATTTTTGCTATAGGGCACGTGCGCTCACTGGAGAGACAGAGAGAAAGAAAGAGAGAAATCCCCCCCCTGCGGGGGATGGCCACGCTACAATCCCTTCTACTCCATTCTCCTCTTGGAATTTTGGGCACACATGCACACGCACCCTGTGTGAGTTTTAAGTTGCCAGGTCTGGAACTTGAACTACGTGAGAGTCCAGTGACGGAAACATTACACTCTCTGCTGGTCCCAATATGATTTAATTTTCTAAACTGCCTGTTCAACTCAGAAGGATATGGCAGTGAGTAAATGAACTTGATTCCCCCCAAAATTATAAATGTACAAGGAAGATTTGCCAAGACTCATTGACTAAAAGTAAGTCAGATATTTGATATACTTTTTATTCAGAAGCAACTCACAATGAAGTTTGTTTCTATTTTATTTTTTCTCATAACGAAAGCTTACTTATTTTCAGAATATACTTGCCAATGTAAAAAAAAATGAATGAATAATGGTGTCATAAGCTTCACAAGTAAATTATTTTGAATTACATTTTAAAAATACAAGTTAGGGGCTAGGCGGTGGTATAGTTGTGCTGCAACCTGAGACCTACATGGGAAAGGTCCTGAGTTCATGTCCTGGGACCTCCCTAGACCTGCCAACTGAGATTGGAGGTAGATGGTGGCAGGAAGGCCCTGTTAGGGGTTTCTCTCTCTCTCTCTCTTTCTCTGTCTCTCATGAAATAAATAACCAACAAAATACAAGTTGGTAATTTTGCAAACCAATATTAGCCAGCCATATAAGAGTAGACAGCTCTTCCATAAACTATTTTTACCTTGAGATTTAAGTATGAACTGATTCAACAATTTCCCCCTGTTTCTGACAATTAATAAGGTGCATGTATTAAAAGAGGCAGTGGAAAAAATGCCTTGGGTTTGCATCTGGAGGTATCTTGTACACACTGGGTGTGTGTCTGAAATCTGGGCTGATGGAGGCTGGAGGTGGATCACAGCAGGTTGGGAATTCCTCTCTCTCTCTCTCTCTCTCTCTCTCCCCCCCTCTCTCTTTCTGAAGAAATAAATAAGTAAACTTTAAAAAGAAAGGTAGTCTTTCAAGTAGAACAATACTTCTATTTGGGAACAAAAGAGGAGAGAATCCAAATAAAATCCATTTTAGATAATATAGTATCAGGAGTTGAAAGTTTGCAGAACCCATACCAAGGGTGACCTTCAGGCAGAACACAGGAAGAGGGGCCCGGATTTAGTCCCTCTCCTTCTGCCCCTACACAGAGATGTCCAGACACTGGGAGAATGGCTGTGTACCCTACGATCCAAGGACGATTATTAACAATTTGTAAGAAAGCAAACTACCATCAATGAAAGACCAGAGACAGTTCTGTATGAAGTGGTAGTTACTACCATTCACATAGAACTTGTTTTATGATAGATGTGCTAGATCTTCAACATACATTATATTATTTAATAAGAGCATTTAATTCTCTCAACAATCTTGAGGGATAAGTATCATTTTTCTTGTCTTATAGCTAAGGAAGATGAGGCCCAGAGAAGCAAAACAAGGCTTCCAAAATAGTGCAACTTGTAAATGGCAAAATTGGGTAACTGATTCTAATACCTGTGCTCTTTTCATTGTACAATCCATGTGAGCACTGAGGTGAGGGATTGAGAGAGACTGTTTAGCACTTCTGCCTGTTCACTCAGCGCTACTCCCCAGGAGCCTGGCTGTCCTGAATTCAGTATCTTCTCTGCTCTTCCCTATGCAGTTGCCCCCTAAGTGCGAGCTGCAGCTGGCTGCTCTTTTTGCCTTCATTCAGGAGCTCTCCTATATTTTCACATTAATTGACATGGCCAGGAAGATGTCCACATGCATGGCAAGAGCCAGCAGGCTGAAGTGGTAGCCAAAACAGACAGGACAAAATTAAGCTTTACTAATGAAAACAGGGCAATGACCAGAGCAGGGAAGCAGATAGATGTCTTGTGATCGGGATTGATCAGACTTCATCAAAGTCTAGGGTTGATCTGGGACCACATGAGTTAAAGGGGCTCCAAAGCCAGATGATGGGTCTGAACAGAGTGACCTACCAAGAAAGAGTTGAAAGTGTTGATCCTTCACACTCCTTAGGACTACTGCCTTTGTCAATCAATAAGTGTTCAGGTATTGCTAGCACCCAGTTCCATTTCCAGTCTTTCAATAGGCGTCCTTTATTTTAATGTTGTATCACTCCGTTTAAAGGCTTACGAAGCAGTGTTATAAATTCTAACTTACCCTACAATCTGAGGATGCAAAGAAACTATGGCATTTATTCTGACTGTAATTGTTCTGCTGCTCAAGAGCTCCTACCAGTGGGTTAACAGTGGGTTAACAGAAAGATTGCTCCTCGAAATGAAAGTCAATCTGCTTAAGGTTGTATAATAAAATATTGGGTTATCATCAAACTCATGATGCATTTTTGCAAAGAAAAATATGTCAGGACTTTCTCAAAAGCCTAAGTTTTTTAAGTAGCTCCTCACGCCCCTCTTTCTGTAGGTTGGCATTTAGATGTACCTACACTATCCATTACACATCACACATCCCAGATACAAACATGGTTTACACCATAGTGGAGAGCAGACTTGGAACAATGCTGCGTGATCCTGCTACTTGCCTGGCTGGTGTCCCACCAAGTTGTTGGCCACCATAGTTTAGGATCCAATCAGTATAGACTCAGCTGGGGTCCAGGGGTGAGCTGGTCTCTCTCGGCTCTCACAGGCCATTTAGACGCCCTTTCTGATTGAGTGTGACTCAGACGCGTCTCTAGGTACATGCTCCCTCCATAGTCTTCCTCTTACTGTGCTCCTACAGTTACCCCTTCTTTCTTCCCAATCATAATGTCTGTCCAGCTTGCTGAGCTATAGATCTAGACTATCAAATTTACCTTATTATATGACAGAAAAGGAAAGAAAGTTATTGAGTGATATTACCTAAATTCTTTTATCTGTAGAGTTTCTGTTTAAAACGAAAAAAGGAAAAGAAAAGGGTCATCTCTCTCTAGGCAGAGCATACCTCCAATCATCAGAGCAAAGGAAGAGAGAGAATGCTTAACTTATAAATACGAACTCCATTTCACTTGCAGTGGCTCACTATTCACAAGACGAAGACCACATTCTTTAATCATGTTCTCATTATGTTCAGATTCTACTTTGAAATCAGGCCCTATTCTACATTTCTGAATTTACCTTATTATTTTCTCCTTTGAGATTTCTCTACTCTAGCCATGTAGTTTATCTGTATTACCTATCAATCGCTTCCTGTCTCCAAACAACTGAATATGCCACCTATTCTTAAAATATGTTTACTGTGTCCCTTCTGCATAGCTGAACTTTACCCATCCTTAAATCTAGTGCCTTCCTCTTTCTCCATGAAATCTGTTTTGCCATTCCAGAATGCTCTCTACCAATAAACCTCCATTGAGTTAATAGACTCTTCTTATTAAACATTTAGTGGGGTTTTTATATTGCCAAAGGATGATTGCATTTTTTAAATGTAACATACAATAATCACATGATGTTGCAAATTGTGTGTTAGCAGGAAGAACAAAACAAAAGCAATATTGTTTCCCAACCTTCTAACATGAAAAGAAATCAAGAGCCTTCGCCTAAAGAAAACACTGCCCTGGAAAGGCCAAAAGATACGTCCCTTTCTGAAGCCAGTGAAAAGAATCATAGTGGTAAATCCCAGAATCTTTTTGCAAGTAGACAGACACTGAACGAAGGCTATATCAGTAAAAAAGAGAACACTCACAATGACGTACAGATGCCCATTTATTCTAATGCCACTGGAGACCAAGAGGCTGAGGGTGGAGATGATGCTGCCAGCAGGCTGCATGACCAAGAAGAATATGGGGCAGCGCTCACCAGAAATCAAATGCAACATAGAATGGGGCCAGTGACTGTGACCAAACTCGTGGGGAAAGGCAGCAAAGAGAACAAACCTAGGAACGCTCTCAGCAGAATGCCAGCAGGTGCAAACCATGCAAGAGCCCACTGGAAAGGTAAAAAGAACCATCGAAGAGATAAGCAAGCTGAAAACAGTCCAGGAGACAGCAAAAGCCCTCATCATCGCCAGCAGAACACTGACTACCTGAAACAGCTCCCCAAAGTCAAACACGTCCCCAGTGATTTCGAAGGCAGCGGTTACACGGATCTTCAGGAGAGAGGGGACAATGCTTTTCCTCCTTTCAGTGGGGATGGCCAACCTTTTAAGGACACTGCTGGTAAAGGAGGAGCTATGGGGCCTGACCAGGAAGGTGCAGACATTCAAACTGGGTTTTCTGGCCCGAGTGAGGCAGAAGCTGGGGATCTGGACACACGAGGGCCAGGATATAATGAGATCCCAGAGAGAGAAGCCAATGGCGGGGACACTGTTGGAGCCAGGGATGAAAACGCTGAAGTGGCAGGTGCTGCTGGTGCGAGCCTTGTGGAGGGCAGCAATGACATCCTGGGGACGACCAATTTTCAGGAACTCCCTGGAAGAGAAGGAAACAGAGTGGATAAAGGGGGCCAAAATGCTCACCAAGGGAAAGTGGAGTTCCATTACCCTCAGCCACCCTCCAAAGAGAAAAGAAAAGAAGGCAGCAGAGATGCAACAGAAAGTACCAATTTTAATGAAATCCCGAAAAATGGCAACGGTGGTACGAGGAAAGGTGCCGACCATTCTCACAGGAGCCCAGCGACCTTCAATGACAAGCAAAGGATTTCCAGTAAGGGTGGAAGTCGGGGCTCACTCATTCCTTCGGATGGGCTAGACAATGACATAGGGTCTCCACATCACCCTAACAATGAGGGGAAGATGATAACACCCCACAGAAACAACCATTATGTGCCCCATGGACAAAATAATTCTATACGGAATAAAGGTATGTCTCAAAGGAGAGGCTCCTGGGGTTACAGAAGAGCCCATTCCAATAGGAGTGTGAGACCCTGGAAAAAAGATGACAGCAGTGACAGTGACAGTTCGAGTGAGAGTGATGGTGACTAGTCCACCGGGAACTCCCAGCTGGGTGATGGTTTGAGTACTAGTCAGCAGCAGTTGATGGTGGAGGACTCAGCCACCTGCGGCAGAGCAGATGAAGAGAAGACAGAGCAGGGGACTGAGCAAGCCAGGAGGTCTGGTCTCCTTGGGGGAATTGGAGCTATTTCAATGGTCATAGTGTGAAATTGTATTCAAAATTATAATGCTTTTCTTAAGACAATTTTAAAAAAAAACTTATTAATGATGTATAGAATAAGGAACATTTGAATAGGTGTCATTTTAAAATTGTTTGTAAATGTCACAAATGCCACGCTATGTTGTTTGCTCTGTAGACATGAAAATAAACGATATCTCTTTACGAAAACCTGTGATGACCTGGAGGGAAGTCTGTTGTCTGTAGTGCTTCATTTCTGAAGCAACCAGATTAGTTCTGCCTTCAGCCAAGGCTGTGCCTATAAAAGTAATTGGCCGGATGAAGCTTGACCGTGTCCTGCCCTCTGCAGCTGGGTTTCCTTTGTCCTCTGGTGGCCCTCTGCTCTAATAAAGATAGCCTGCTTTTCTTTTCAAGCTACTGGGTCAGGGACTCAAACCACAAAGTCGGCCATGTTGGATCCAGCTGCCTCAGTCACCATGCCACTGGCTGGTTCTTCATAGCCTTCCATTTGCTTTTTATAAAACTTCTCTCGGGAACCAGCAGTTAGCGTAATGGCTATGTCGCTGGACTCCCACGTAGTCGACCGCAGTTCGTGTCCCAGACCCGGTGGCTTAAAACTCACGCCAGGCGCGTGTGCATGCGTGCCCAAGATCCCGGGAGGAGAATGGAGGAGAAGGGATTGCGGCGTGACCATCCCCCCTGGGGGGTGATTTCTCGCTTTCTGTCTCTATGTCTCTCTCTGTCTGTCTGGCGAACGCACGTGCCCTATAGTGAAAAAAAAACCCTCTCAAAAAAAAACAAAAACAAAAACAAAAACCTTCTCTGTTGCCTTAAGGCATATATGCTTGCCAGAGAGAGACAGAGACAGTGAGAGGGAAAGTGAAAAATCACCCTGCAGGAGGGATGGCCACATCACAATCCCTTCTCTTCCATTCTCCTCTTGGGATCTTGAGTATGCATGCACATGTGCCTGGCATGATTTTCAAGTCCCTAGGTATAGGACTTGAACCACAGTGGGTCATGTGGGAGTCCAGCAATGTAACCGCTATGCCATCCGCTGGCCCTCTTCTACCTTCTTTCATCTGTTGCACATTTATAACTTCTTATAAGGCAAAATTTCTTTCCTGAATCAAAGCTCTGTATTATCCTTTCTCTCAGTTCTACCTCCTTCCAGACGAAGAAGAGAACAGGGTGGAGGGAGAGTAGCTGGACGCGTCAGAGCAGAAGCACAAATGCATCAGCTCTTCCCAGATCACTTTCCTCCTAATCCCATCCTGCATCTTCTCACAGAGATGCTTTCCCAGATCCTCATGGCCTTGGGACGCCATTCTGAACCTTAGACCCATGTCTCCAGGAAAGGGCAGGGGGTACAGTTCTGGGAGGCTTTTGCTCTTCCTGAGAAAAGGACCTTGCATGGTTGGTGCTGTCCTGCCTCCGTTCAGGTGCTCTTCTCCTTGATCTGACACGAACGTGATGCCTGAAGGGGAAGAGCTATTTTGTGGCCATGAGGGACTGGATAAAAATCTTTATAGAGATGCCACTGAGACAGTCCCACAAGCCTCCTGCCTCCAACATCCTTGTTCTGTGAGGAAAATGATTCCCTATTTGTTAAGCCACCATTTTCATTTTTTGTTGGGACAGAAGAAAAATTGAATTCCTAACTGATACACATCTCCTTTCCTGACATTCTCGGAAATGAGGCGGGCCAGGTGAAGACAAAGGGAGGGCTTGAGGATAGAGAAAAGAAAAGTGTGTGTTACTTCCCTCATTTATTTAAGACATAAGTCCCCAAACAGCAGAAATCATGAGGGCCACCTTCCGTACTCCTGGATTATTGAATTGGAGCATGCAGATGGCAGAGGTGAACACACGTCAATGTCAGTACAGCGCTGTGACACCGTAAAAAGGTAAACTCCCGGCACCAGCAGATGGTACAACAGTTACGTTGCTGGACTCCCACGTAGTCAACCGTCACGCGAGTCCCGGACCCAGTGGCTTAAACTTCACACTGGGCATGTGTACACGTGTGCCCAAAATCCCAAGAGAAGAATAGAGAAGAGATTGCGATGTGACCATACCTCCTGGTGTGTGTGTGTGTGTGTGTGTGTGATTTCTTGCTTTCTGTCTCTCTGTCTTTCTCTCTCTCCAGTGTAAGCTATGGAACAAATGAGATTCTCCACATACATACATACAAATAACAATTACTGCATGATTTGCATAGCTTCCATGGGCTGTGTTTTGTCAAATCCTTTTACCTGCACTGCTACTCCATTAATGGGTACCATTATTGTCACCATTTTTAGAGAGAAGGAGACTGAAATAGATCTATAAGTAAGTGTCCCAACTAGTAAGCCAAGATGAGACCCAGGGAGTCTGACTCAAACATTCACTATATTCCATATGTTACATAGGAAGATGTGTGAGATATACAGTACACATATGTATGAATGCATATGTATTGACATGTATGTATACATACAAACTGGAGACGCATATATGTAAATTTATAAACAGAAAGAGAATGAGAGAAAAACCTGAAAGAAATGTTAAGAATCTGGAAAGAAGCAGTTTCTTTTTTTCTTCATTCCTTTTCCATCTTGTGGATGTAGCAGCGATCGTATCAGCGGAAAGATAGCCTATCAGCCAATGTCATCAGCAGGATTTCAGAATAAGCCATTCCTAGTGCTCTGCTTTGCTATTAAGACAATTTGGGAAAAAACTAGCCTGGAGGCAATTAATGAAGTGCAGAAGCCACATGTAAGGTCACATTCAGTAAAGTTCTTCTGAGCATCCCCTGGAGTCGCTCCAGGCCTGACAAGGAACAAAGGCCAGACCTCTGCAGACCTGGCCTTGGCAGGGTCCCACATCCCAGAACTTGCTCCTGCAAGGGCACACTGATCCAGAAGGACACAAAACAAGCACAGTGTCTAATGGTCCAAAATAAAGCAAAAACTACAAAACATTTGGTTCGTGCAAAATGTGACATGCAGTCTCCTAGAATTGCTTGATCAGTTGCCCTATAAAAAGAACCCCCTCTTTCCTGATGATGGGGTTAAAACACCTCCAACTTCAGACTCCTGGACACTCTTGGTTAATAAACTTTCTTTTCTCTCTTGAAATGATGCCCTCTGAGTCTTACTCTGAACTGTGACATTTTTAGTGCCGAAGCCCGGGAAGATTCACTGAAGGCAGCCATCTTAGAATGATGCCTCCTGAGTCTTACTCCAAACCGTGACACTGTATCAGAATATTTTTCTTTTGAGAGGTTTTTGCTTTAGGGTCCATGTGCTCACCAGAGAGAGACAGAGACAGTGAGAGGAAAAGTGAGAAATCACCCCTGGAGTGATGGCCATGCTGCAATCCCTTCTCTATTCTCCTCCCAGGGTCTTGGGCACACACGCACGCACACCTGGCATGAGTTTCAAGTCACCAGGTCCTGGATTTGAACTGCAGTCAGCCATGTGGGAGTCCAGTGACATACTGTTATGCTACATGCTGCCCCCAACTATATCAGAATTTAATTGCAGATAAATGGATTGAGATCAAGCTGCTACTTATATTCCAAGCTATATTGGACTTTTACACATGAGTGGGCTGATCAGATGAGAGCACTTGGATGGTAAAGAAAAAATATGATGAGGAAAACAAATTAGGTTAGTGCACATGGGACTTCCCAAGTCACCTAGTCTAGTCTGCTATCTAGTGGGAAAACTGCATTTCAGTTCTTGGATCTGATTTTGTTTCTCCTCTGTAAGCTTCAGCGTTCTTGGATATTCCTTCAAAACACTGTCAATGCCCATATTTTCTTCCTCCACTTAAGGGACACTAGATACATTTCACCACCCATGAAGCATTGCTGTTGGGTGGTGGAAGACACAGCAGAGTTAGTCCAAACATGGAAGGACCAGGAGCCACAGGACAGCTACAGGCAGGCGTGCGGACTGTGCTTCACCCAAGCTGGTGTTTCAGCCACCAACCTGCACAATCCTCACTTAAAAGTGAATAAACATAGATTTCCAAAATAGGACAGGAAATTTCAACTTCACAGAACTAGCGGCTTCTCGGGGATGGGTGAGATGGACATAGTCTGCCACCTTGTGCCCAAAGAGAAAAGGTCACTACTACCAGTCCTTCGAGCAGGCCCCAGGTCCCCTCATTCCTTGCCTGTCTGCCACGTCCTCCAACCATGCCTCCCAGATTTCTCTGCCTGCAGTTATCTACCCTGATTTTGCAGCCCCATTTACTCGTTCTTGGCGACTTCAGCCAGTTGGGGCGAGACATCTGATCTTGTTGGCATAATGTTCAATCAGTTGAAAGACACTGAAATGACCATGTTTCCCAAAATGCTGTGGGAACCCAAAGAAGAGAAGACATACTCCTGGTCCTAATCAAGATTTAGTCAAGAAGAAAGGCATTCAAAAGACAAGACAAGATGTGGTCAGTTCAATCACAAAAATGCAAATAAAGTGATATAGAAGTTCTGAGAAAGGTGAAGTCTATTGAGGGGAAGAGCGAGGAGATAGTAAAACCCATTTTCCTGCAGGAATTGCACATTGTGAAGAGGCCGCAGGCAGGATGTCTCAGCAGGTAAACAAGAGCTTCGCGCTGATGGCCGTCTATGAAGCTATATATACTTTAGCACTTAAGAAAGATCACCGACCAGAGGAGGAGAACTGGTGGTAGGTTAGGTGGAGGCTGGGGAGCTGGAAGAAGACCAGCCATAAGGAAGTCACTTGACAGGTTATCGCTATAATCTAGAAGAAACATATCATTTCCTCACTTATTTATTATTTCTTAAAGATTTTTGCCATAGATTACGTACACTTGCCGGAAACAGAGACAATGAGAAGGAAAGTGCGAAATCACTTCACAGGGGGGAAGGCCACACAGCAATCCTTTCTCCTCCATTTTCTTCTCAAGATTTTGGGCACATACACACATAGGCCTGGTGTAAGTAACGAGCCTCTGGGTCTGAACTGCAGTCGGTCATGTGGGAGTCCAGCACCTTAACCACTACGCTGCCTGCTGGTCCCCTCCTCATTTATCTTAAGGACCTGCTTTGTTTTTGTGCATGTGTGTATGTGTGTGTGTGTGTTTCTTTTTTTGAGAGGTTTTTCCCTTAGAGTGCATAGAGAGAGTGAGAGAGAAAGTGA